ATTTATTGGTTTCACGTTCAGATTTTGTAATATTGTCCCTCAAAACCCTGCCCTCGCACTCAAATAGCCTCTGCTTGCGCTTAGATCTACTCTGTCTTTGCTCCAACTGTGTGCTCGCACTCAGATACCATGTTGCTTGCACAGATTTCCTACTCGAGTTTCAGCTTTTCTCCTCACGCTCAAACTGCTTCTATGCGCTCGCGGATTTTCTGCTCTCAGATTTCTACCTTGTGCTTGGATTTTTTTGTGAAACAACCCTGTCAAAATCCCCCAGTCAATAGAACGGCAGGTTTACTGTTGACCAGTGAAATGATCCCTGCCTCCTTGTGGGCGTGCTCGCTTTAGTTTCAGAGTGTCCCATCTGGGCGGGTACTCTTTAACCGGGTTCATCCACTCCCACCCTCCAGAGCTTTATTAAATGCTCTTCCCTTGCTTTCTTACTTTTGGAATGACGCCGATTGTCATGAATTCGCATCATACCGCTTCCATTCAGACTGCAGCCGAGATAGTGCCAGTTTGTGCATATTAAGTACGTACCTAGGAACCTTTTTCAAGCACTGGTTTCTTGTAGGACCGGTCAGAGTGAGAACTACATCTGGTTCATGGAAGCTAACGCTTTGGCTAACAACCGCTGCGTGTGGAGGCTGCAAATTTGGAGAAATTGTCCAATATGAGGTAAGTTGTGCTAAGATAAAAAAAATACGTACCAGCTTATTGTTTGCTTCTACAGCTGACATATTGGAATAGACTTCATGTGGCGAATATATTTTACGTTATTTGAAGATTTCTGTTTGTTGCGAATTTGGCTACATTCGACCATAACGGCTACATTCGGCCGTAACGGCAGCATAGAAATAATGCTGTATTTATATAGATTTCAGCACTCACATGTGTTTCCTTTGGGAAATGCCATTCTAGTTAATTTCTATAAATATTATAAAAATAGCATGCTGGGATATAAATGCAATTTCTGTGCTTTTTCACAACACAGAACAAAATGAATGCATCAGTGTTCTGTGGGAAGAGACCAGGTGGACTTCAAACCAGGGTTCGACCAGTCGAAAGGGACGACAGCTGTCTCAATGACAGTGGGGATAGTGATGAAGACTACACTCCTACACCAGGTGATGAAAACGGCAGTAACAGCTACAGACGCCCCTATCACTGCCGTTTTCATCACCTGGTGTAGGAGTGTAGTCTGTACGTTGCATGCACAGGCCCCATGCACAGAGGCACCGCCTCGCTGCAGCGGTCGCGGGCTCGACCCCAGCCTGCGGCCCATGTCATTCCCCCATTCTCTATTTCCCCACTTCATGCTGTCATAAAGCAAAAGGCCAAATAGATAATCTCATTAAAAAAAACAACAGTAATAATGCTATAATTTGTGTAGACTTTCAGCTTTTTGTCGTTTACATATGGCCAAATGTTTGTGAATGTAACCATGTCTACATGATGTGTATGTAATGTAGATAAAAATGTCTGCACTTTTCTATAGTGATTTCTTTTTTCTATACCAGGTGATTAAAGCAGCAGTAGTGAGAGTACTGACAACAGGAGCAGCAGTGATGAAGACTCCGATGGAAATCATGATGCACTTCCTTGCATCAGTGCTCTAAGTGAAAAGCTTGAGCTCTGTTTCACATTGGCTTGTAATAGCTGGTACTATAGTCAGGACATTGAAAATAATTGTGTGGCTTCAATAAAATCTACATACCTGAGACGGGAAAATGTGTTTTATTATTATGATTTTTTTTTTTTTTTTTTTTTACCATTTTTGCCTGTTGTTGCTAATTTGCATCATACCTAAATTTATATCTATTATATGTGCTAAAGACAAATTAACAATCTTCATATAATTTCGCATCAGCTTGAAAGCAAAAGCACGTGTAATTATTTTTTTTTTATATATTTGTAAACAGGCATCAAGGAGATAAAGGGGCTGTTAATTTACACATGTGCACCTGTATTTTTTTTTTACTATAATAGCCACATAGAATATATATATATACAGTACAGGCCAAAAGTTTGGACACACCTTCTCATTCAATGCGTTTTCTTTATTTTCATGACTATTTACATTGTAGATTCTCACTGAAGGCATCAAAACTATGAATGAACACATGTGGAGTTATGTACTTAACAAAAAAAGGTGAAATAACTGAAAACATGTTTTATATTCTAGTTTCTTCAAAATAGCCACCCTTTGCTCTGATTACTGCTTTGCACACTCTTGGCATTCTCTCCATGAGCTTCAAGAGGTAGTCACCTGAAATGGTTT